ACTGAGACGATTACTCTCTCGGGGGAAGTATTTTTAGTAACGCCAACTGACGGGAGCACTTGGCCGCCAAAACAAAACCCGTCTTGACCTTTATTTCGACGAACTCGTCTTCTCTTCCCATTTTGCTCGGGTAGCCTGTTTGCTTTGCTTTGCTTCACTTCGCTTCGCCTTCCTTTCTTTTGCCTTTCTTTGCCTTACCTCGCTTTGCCTCTCTCACCATTCTCACCATTCTACCGGCGCATTTGTGTAACGGCACTCACTGGGTAGCACTCACTGTCCGTGGCAAACTCGTCCACTCGGTCATTGGTGTGGGCACCTCCATTGAGCAATTCATTCGATTGGCCAAGCCGGTCAAAATGTGCTCATTTGCACATCCCTTCACTGTGATCTGACTGACTGACTCTCTCTCTCTCTCTCTCCCTCTCTCAACGTCCCGTCTCATCGACAGCGTCTTACAACACAATCACCCGCCGCCGACATTGTGTTTTTGAAGGTGTTGTGAATTTACTTTATTTAAAGTGTTTTCCGTGGCAATATTCTTTTTTTGCGACAGCGATCATCGTTACTTTTCATTAATGTCCTCATCATGCATCAATCACTGCAATGAACGACCACAGTGATCACCAGCTTTTGATATTTAGTCTTATCATCTTTTAAACTATTCGTTTTGTTGATATTTTTTGTTGCATTTAAAGTAAGTTTTAAAAAGCTTTGTTATTTTTTGCCAGTTATTTATAGTACTCCCCGTTGTGGTATCAAGTTTATAAGTGCTATTTGATCAACAGGTAGTGGTGTTAGCCACTACCTGCTCTAGTGTGTTCATTAGCAAAAGCTAGTGTCTCAAAACAATCGGCCTAATTGAACTTGATCAGCCATCAATATTATACTCTGGCCAATAAGTGCATGTTGCACTATTAATAACTAGGAGATCAAGTAGAAAAAGGGAGCGAACATCGACTCCTCGACTCAGCACTGAACTGGTCAAAGTCGTGTCGCACGCTTTCCANCTGGCCAATAAGTGCATGTTGCACTATTAATAACTAGGAGATCAAGTAGAACAAGCGAGCGAACATCGACTCCTCGACTCAGCACTGAACTGGTCAAAGTCGTGTCGCACGCTTTCCATACTACAGCAAGTGCTGCCACTGGATACAGTCAAAGTTGTTGTGTTGCCAAATCGAGAAGACGAGATCGAGCCACTGATCTTTAATACAGTCGACATTTCTTCCATTTGCACCAGATCGCTCGCCGAACAAACCGACCAGCCGATCGGTGAAGAAGAAGAAGATGACAGAGGGCAACGGCAAACGGCTGCCCTTGCGTTTGACAATCTCCCCAGTGTGGCTAGCATCTGCTTTACTGTTCATCGCTCATCTCGACTGGGTAAGTTGAACTTGGCCTTTGAACGAAGCCGCGCTTGCCGCCATTCAAACTGTCACTGCTCGAATGCCCATTTAGTGTAATTAATAATGCACACATACACATGCACATGCAAAAGAAGGCATATTCGAGGCTGTTGACATTGCACAGAAAGGAAGAAGAGACTTCGACCGACTCGATGGCAGCGGCAGTGACTGCTGTCAGGGTCGTGTCAAGCCTGACCGACTACGGTGAAGAGCGATTTTAATGAGCATGCAATTATTGTTATCACCCCAATGCTACAGACGCACTGCCAGAATGACCTCTTTGAGGAGACGGCTCACCTGTGGCCCTCTGACGCCCAGGCGGACACTGCAGGCCTGCAGCTGGCCGGCGGCGGTGGTGGAGGTGGTGGAGGCGGCGGAGATGTGGCCAGCACCCGACTCACCTCTCTGGACGTCATCTGCGGGAAGGAGTACATGACGGTGCGTGCCGAGTTCAACTCTCCCTTCAATGGCATCGTCTTCTCGAAGGGCACCTACGGCCAGAGCAAGTGCGTGTACGTGAAGCCGCACTCCGGCCTGACCCACCTCACCTTCAACGTCCGCTACGACGAGTGCGGCACTAAGCCTGATTTGCAAGGCAAATACTTCGAGAACACCATTGTCTTTCAGTACGGCAATGACATCATCGACGTCCTGGACGAGGCAAAGCGCCTTCGCTGCGAGTGGTTCGAAGCCTACGAAAAGCCGGCCACCTTTCGACCTGCCATACCGGTAATTACGAGCGGTAGCAGTGCTAATTCACTGACGCCTGTCATCTGCTGTCATTCCCTCTTTCCGTTGTTGCGTTTTTCTAGGTGGCTGATTTAGACGTTATCGAGATGAACTTTCAAGGCGATGAAATAGACTGCTTCATGTCTATTCAAGAAGGCGGAAAAGGACCGTATTCGAATGAAATTAACCGAATCGTAACCGTCGGTAAGACCCTTCTTGAGTTTCTATTTTTGTGCTAATAATNAGACTGCTTCATGTCTATTCAAGAAGGCGGAAAAGGACCGTATTCAAATGAAATTAACCGAATTGTAACCGTCGGTAAGACCCTCCTTGAGTTTCTATTTTTGTGCTAATAATAACCTTACCCTTTGCTTTTGGCCATTGCAGGACAGCCACTTTCGCTGGTGGTAGCCATTAATNGTGCTAATAATAACCTTACCCTATGCTTTTGGCCATTGCAGGACAGCCACTTTCGCTGGTGGTAGCCATTAATGACCAGAAAAACCAATTCGATATGAAAGTAAAGTCCTGCTTTGCTCATGATGGAGTCAAGTCGCCCATTTACCTGGTTGATGAAGACGGCTGCGTTTTGAGNTGTGCTAATAGTGTTCTTACCCTTTGCTTTTGGCCATTGCAGGACAACCACTTTCGCTGGTAGTGGCCATTAATGACCAGAAAAACCAATTCGATATGAAAGTAAAGTCCTGCTTTGCTCATGACGGAGTCAAGTCGCCCATTTACCTGGTTGATGAAGACGGCTGCGTTTTGAGGCCAGGAATGTTTTCGCAGTTTCAAAAGTTCCGCAGCCCGAAAGGCTCTGGAAAAGCCACTCTGGTGTCATATGCGTCCTTCTTGGCCTTCAAGTTTCCCGACTCTGTGGACGTGCAAATTCAGTGTACCGTTGAAGTGTGTCGTCACGGGTGCAGCAACAACTGCGAAGCTGATCGATCTCGAGGAGCAAAGCAGCAGCAGCAGTCAAAGTCGAAACAACCATCTGATTTTGGTGGAACTAACCACTATCAACTTGGCAAACCGAACTCTGTCTCTCACGAGATGAATCGATTTCTAATGGAAAACGCTGATCTACTGGAGTCGGCCAGCTCTAATGAGGCGGCAACAGTCACTGCTCCAGTGTACATTGACAGTTTGTCAGGCGGCTCTGACTCCGACTCAATGCTGACCAATGCTGACAAACAAGTGCTTAGACACAACTCGACGGCTGGAAAACAGTCACAACTGAACAACATTGCAGCATTTGTGCACAACGTCGAGCAGCCAAAGACAACTGGTGATCAGAAGCAGTTTGACAACAGCAAAATTCATGCCGAGTTTAATGTGATGAGCAAGCTGTCCAGCGGCGGAGCCAGAGGTCACCAGAACTCCAACCACGGCAAATTACCGCCAATGCGCGGAGGCATGTCTGCGGCGCAGTCAAACCCGTTGGCGATGTTCGCAATGGCCACTGGACAGCGACCAGGACCCGGTTCTGGAGCTGGCTTACCACCTCGCTACCCAGCCGAGCCAGTGGCACAGGTGCTGAACATTCCCCTCAGTCCAATGTACATGCCCGGTGTGAGGCCATCAGCAGGTCACGCACCGCTGCCATTTGCCGGCGGACAGGGAATGCCGTCGCCGAATATGCTAAACAGCCAGCTCAACAGCTTGAGGCTGCTGAAGAGCAAAGGCCTCTCCATTCCACAGCTCTTTTCGAACTACTTTGGAAAGAACCGCCGAGCGCAATACGTGCCAAATGATAATTTTGAGTTTGTGAGCAAGCTGACGGCGCCCGGAGTGGCCGGACAGCCGCAGCAGGTGTTTCGCACGCGACGTTTCGTTCGCGACACTCAGGGCGAGGTAGGCCTGAAGCGCGGCTTCCAAGTGGTCACCTCGTTGGATCTCTCCTTCTCGCCGAACATGTCAGCCGATCAAATGCCAGAGGTGTACGAGGGTATCCCTGCGCCCATCGTCTACGGCATGTGCTTCTCAACGACCCACTTCATGTACTTTGTGGCCGTTTCCCTACTCTTCCTCTTCTCCGGCATCTCCTCCTGTGTATATATCATCGTCCGCCTCGAAAGAGCCAAAAAGGCCAACTATCGCTAATCGCTTGGAGAGCGCCATCTTGTTCACCCCTAATTTATACTGCATCACCTCATTGTGTATACTACCGGACAGCATCTGCTTGATCACCTCACAGTCATTTTAATAAAAAAAGTATTTATTGTTCAAATGGTTAATCCGTTTTAAAAACAACAACACACATTTGAATGTGCATNTTTCACCCCTAATTTATACTGCATCACCTCATTGTGTATACTACCGGACAGCATCTGCTTGACCACCTCACAGTCATTTTAATAAAAAAGTATTTATTGTTCAAATGGTTAATCCGTTTTAAAAACAACAACACACATTTGAATGTGCATGAGAATGTGATGCCCTTGACTTGCCTAATGCGGCCTAAAACGGGCCAAACCGTTAGTTCTCCTCATTCGGTCTACTGCCATCATCCTTCTGCTGGTTTTGTGGATTCTTGTAGATGCAAACGTAGTCAGCAGGAGCTATCAGCGCTGTTGGCGTGTCACTGGGCACTCGCTCCACCGGCGGCGGCCTCTGAGACTGCACTTTCGGTGCTGGATTGATCGACTGCTTCACTGATGCATTGTTGTTCAGGGTAACAACGTTGCCAATCTGAATTGGATACTGTTTTGGCTTATTTTTAGAAAACAGACACTGGTAGTCATCAGGCGCAATCAGATTAGTGGGCGTGTCTGAGGGCACGCGGTTGGCGCTGGGCTCCTTCGGAGGCTGAATGTTCACCGATTGCTTTGCCTTTCCAACGGGGTTCTGGTTGCTGAAGTAGTTTTTGTAGTCAGCGGGAGCAATCATCACTGTGGGAACATCAGCGTCAGATTGGACTTTCTCTTTGGTCTTTTGCTTCTCCACCGGCTTGACCAGAAGTCCTTGGTTGTTGATCTTTTTGCTGATCGAGAATATGTTGCAGTAGTCCTCGGGAGCAAGAACACACGTCGGAGTTGCGTCAATCTCATCTTTGACGACTACCGGCTCCTTCACTGGTTCAGCAGGCAGTTTGCCCACCGAACGACTGTTTGAGCGTTGCTTGTTTGGACTTTGAGTATTCGGCTTCTGCTTCGAGTTTTTACGCTTGTGTCGGCGTTTGCTCTTCTTCCGGTGCTTGTGACCCATAGTGAAGTGCTTCAAGTTTCTTCAATGCTGACAATGAAAAGCTGAAAAACTGCAAAAAATGGCAATGCTTTGTTGTGTTGCTTACTTTAACCGGCATTCCTGATCATTCTAGTGGGCAACAAATGTGCTCAACATAATTTCGAATGTTGAAAAGTGAATCATCAAAAGGTTCTTATAAACTGGTCACTACTTACACTAATCCAGTCATAGCTAGTTGATTGTTAAGCGTGAAACAACTGAAATTGCCAAAACTTGTCTCTCTTTTTTGTTCAAGCGAAAATGCCGTACTATACTCGTGAGATGGTCCGATATATGAAGGAACAGGAGAAACAGGGCAAGAGCGACTCTTCGCCGCGTGACAAAAAGCGATCTCTAAGTTCGGCTGAGAATGTGAAAGCCCAAGGAGGTAACTTGAACAAAACCGCCTCTGGCACCGGCAACCTGAAGACTGGCGATGAAGCGAACACCCGAGTTCTTCGCATCACCCCAAGCCACATTGACTGGGATGCCTCCAAGGTGGCTGTGGCCAAGTTTGAGCCTCCCAAGATGGCCAAGGAGATGACCTTCGATGAGAAGCGACTGAAGTATATGCGCAACCTGCTTCGCCTTCAGGTGGAGCGCATCCATCGCATCGAGAGCAACTTGCCCACCTCCTCAAAGGAGTACGAAAAGTACGAGTTCAACTGGAACCAGCTCGTTCGCAAGGGCGAGCATTCTCAGGTGAGCAGCAAACAGCAGCAATTTGTCAGCAGTGATTTGAGCCCTAGTTCCTTTAGATGTTCACAGTCAAACACCGCGAGTTCAGCAACCTTCCCATGATTGTGAAACGATACGAGAACACGCTTGGAAACTCTGCGGTTTTCAGCTCATCTTCCTTGTACCTGAAGTGCATCAAACATCTTGGCAAGAAGCACCCGTACATTACGCAGACTTGGGAAGTGTTTGCAGCTCAGAACCAAATTCTGGTTGTCCAAGAGTTTGCCAACCGCAACGATGTGTCGTCCTTTCTCAAGCTGAAGGGCAAACAGAATGAGCAGCGTGTCTGCGAGTGGGCTCACCAGCTGTACAAAGCACTCGACTACCTGGGCGACATGGCCATTTGCCACCGCGCCATCAAGCCGAAGAACATTCTGCTCAACCACAAGGAGCTGAGCGTCCGCCTGACTGGCTTCAAGAATGCCGTCGTGTACTGGAACGTGGCCAAGGAAGACATATCGAACCTTCCCTGTCTGCCAGTGAGCTCCAAGAATCGCAGCAACGAACCAGACTTTCAGGCGCCGGAGGTCTTTGGCAATGACGAGAGAGAGGAGTTTGACCCAATCAAGGCTGATCTCTTTTCGTACGGAGCAGTGATCTTCTCCATGATCACCATTTTCGATTATCCGTACAACTGGAAGGTGGACAACATGAAGGTTGAGGATGAGATTCGTAACAGCGTCCAGAAGTTGGACATTTCCGAAGAAGGCAAGTCCTTTCTCAACTCCCTTCTCACCACCAACGCCATCGTTCGCCTGACTTTTGATAAGATCAACAGCAATCCTTGGTTTGCTCTGCTCAAGCACGATAATGTGGTCAGCAGCCTGCAAAAGTTGGCTTGAAGCTCGTCTCTTCGGCACTTTTAAATACTCTTTAGGCATCTTGCTGCTCGTTAAGAATTTAACATTTTTCAAATGGTGGATAAATTGATTTAGTAATACATTGAAATTAAAAATTTTCAGTTTTTAAAAAAAATTGATGATTCAAAATCATAGATGTACTATTTTGACCCAAACTGACTGCTTTAGAGGCACATGGCACACAATTCAAGTTTATTTTCAAAAGTTCATTTTTGAAAGTGCCCTACTTGTATTTGCAACTTTCCAAACGATCATCACCAAGATTATTAAATAAGTCATTCAGAATGCAAGTCAACAAAGACCTTCTTTTGTGCGAAAATAAATACTTTGTAGAGAAGAGCAAACTACAAAATGTTCTTGATTTTAGCAATGAGCCCCAAAACAAACCAAAGCAACTTAAAACGGAGAAAGTGTCTTCAAATGGTATGTCAAAATCTTTTTGTTAGAATCGAATATATAACTTTGTAATGTAATACGTTTTTTTCATTTTCCAGTTCTCTCTCAAGTGAGATCTTTTCTGAACAAAGTCAAATCTGACGATCCTGTTTGTGTAAATATCGAGCAAGAAGATGACGAAGAAGGCACGAGCAGCCAAGCATCTGAAAGCGGTTTGGAAAACAAAAAGATTCAATTAGATGTTCTGCTTTTTGAGGAAAATAACGACACTAGTAGTGATGATGAGTCAGAAGATTCTGAAGCAAATTGAATCATCGAATTGAATTAAAAAATTGATAATACGAAAATTGTGACTGAAATTCATAATTTCTGAACCATTTAAATTACCATTTCATCTTTTTTTCATTTTTGTATTCAACTGAAACTGTACTTTTAATGATGTATTATAAAAAAACTCAATCATATTCAGTTAAAAACCATGAATAAAGATAAATTGCAAAAAACTTTGTTTACAAGTTATTCTGGACCAGGCTGGTGTTAAAATAGTATTTTCAGCACGTGTTGGCGAGAGATTTTCCATTTGTTTTGTTTTTGATTTCCAAGTTTTTCAAAGTGTTTCAAAATGTGGAAAGTCGTGGATAATTACTTTAAAACGCATGATATCGCCCAACACCACATCAACTCCTTCAACAGCTTTATCTCAAAGGGCATCAAAGAAATCCTGATTGCCAATAACCGAGTCACGTCTGAGGTAGACTCAAACTGGTACATCAAATACCTCGACATTAGAGTAGGCACGCCGGAATTTCGCGATGGCCAACAACGACACACTTTGACGCCACAAGAATGCCGGTTGAGGGATCAAACTTATTCTGCACCGATTTACGTGGACATCGAGTTTACTCGAGGCCAGGATGTGGTACGGCAGAAGGACATCCTAATCGGGCGAATGCCGATAATGTTGCGAAGTCGAAATTGTGTGCTTTACAAGAAGAATGTGGATGATCTAATGAAGCTTCAGGAGTGTCCTAATGATCCTGGCGGATACTTTGTCATTAATGGCAGCGAAAAGGTGATATTGATGCAAGAGCAAGCATCGAAGAATCGTATATTTACTTTTAAAAATGACGAGGACATTATATGCGAAGTCACATGCATCTCAACGGAGAAAAAGTCGCGCCTAGTCTTGCAAATGAACAAGAAAAAGCAGGTATGTTGTAAATTAGAGCTAATTAACGTTTTATTAATCTATTTTTATTATGGCTAACAGGTCGTGGTAAAGCACAATTTGTTTCCCAAAGAAGGTCTCCCGGTTTTTATACTATTCAAAGCTATGTCCGGCTTGAGCGACAAGGAGATCACTAATCTCATTCTTCGACACACCGAGCACAGTAAGGAAATGTTCAAACTGCTTCTGCCATCAATAGAGCAGTGCATCGAATTGAAAGTGCTTTCAGAGCTAAGCGCACTGGAGTACATCGGCAAGCGCATCTCCCTCTCAAAGGAGCCCACAAAACTGCCGGCTTCAATTGCATTTGATGTCATCTACAATTCAGTGCTAACGCATATACCAATGAAGAAGCACTCCTTTTATTCAAAAGTGCTCTACCTTGCCTTTATGATGCGTCGGCTCCTCATGGCGCACATTGACCCTGACAACCATATTGACAATCGTGATTTCTACGGAAACAAGCGACTCGAGCTGGCTGGAACTTTGATCGGTTTTCTATTTGAAGATGCTTTCAAGCGGTACAACGCTATTTTAATGGTTAGTGCTGTTTAGCTGTTTTTAGCCAAATATTTTTTCTAAAACTCGACTTTTTGTTTCAGTCAACAGCTAACCGCTATCTGCCCAAGGTGAAGGTTTGCCAGTTTGATGCGACCAAGTACATGACCAGTACCTTAATCACGCAAACACTGAACAATTCAATTGCCACTGGAAACTGGTCGATTCGTCGTTTTCGCATCAATCGTATTGGCGTCAGTCAAGTTTTATCTCGTCTGAGTTATTTGGCGACTCTTGGTATGTTGACTCGAATCAACTCGCAATTTGAGAAAACCCGAAAGACAACTGGTCCTCGATCTCTGCAGTCTTCCTACTGGGGCATCGTTTGTCCCAGTGACACGCCTGAAGGTGAAAGTTGTGGGCTTGTGAAGAACCTCGCTTTGATGTGCCAAATATCCACTGAAGATGCTGATAAGGAAATCTACAACATCTGCTCACAGTCTACCTTTGTGGTGCCCTTCGGTCTTCTAGACTTTGACCGACTTGAATATGGCTTGCATTACCTCTTCATCAATGGTGTCATTGTTGGCTATGTGACCAATGCTGCCTTGTTCACAGCTGACATGAGAAAGCATCGACGAAAAGGGCAAATTCCCAAGTTTACCTCAATTTACACCAGTGAATCACACCAGTCGGTGTACATATCTTCTGATGCTGGTCGACTTTGTCGTCCCTACGTCATCGTTAATGAAAAGGGATTCAGTGAGCTGACTTCTCGTGATGTCAACTTTGTGGAGCGCGGCATCAAAACGTTCAATGATCTAATTGATGAAGGCAAAATTGAGTATCTCGACATGAATGAGCTCAATGACTGTTTCATTGCCCTGAATGAAGCAGCTATCATCCCTGCAAAGACTACTCACATGGAAATTGAAGTGTTTACCATTCTTGGAATATGCGCCTCAATTGTTCCCTTTCCGCACTGTAATCAGTCGCCGCGAAATACGTACCAGTGCGCCATGGGCAAGCAGGCCATGGGCGTGATTGCACTCAATCAGAACCTTCGCAACGACACACTGCTTTATACTATTCAGCATCCACAGTATCCACTTGTGCAGACCAAACCAATGCGAATGTTTGACTGGATTCCAGCCGGGCAAAATCCAACAGTGGCTGTCATGTCCTACAGTGCCTACGATCTGGAAGATGCCACAGTGCTGAACAAATCTAGCATTGAGTTTGGCTATGCTCGCTGCTTTGTCTACAAAAATGCAAAGTCTGAGCTGAAAAGTTATCCCAACGGACAGTGCAAGGACAGACTGGAGAACCCGTTGACCAGCGAAGCCTGTAACAGCAAAAACAAGTACAGGTATTCCGTCATTGAGCCGGATGGTCTCGCTTCACCTGAGAGCATTGTTTATGAAAATCAGCTTTTGATCAATAAGTTATCACCTGATGTGGCGGGGAATCAATCACTTGGCAGCCTAGGAGCGGCTCATCCACCCAATGTGACCTGGAATGAAAGTCCACTAGTCTACCGAACTTCTTCTCCAAGTGTTGTAGATAAAGTGACTATCTCTAACAACAACGATGACGACGTCATCATCAAAGTGCTCTATCGGCAGATGCGCGCTCCAATTGTTGGGGACAAGTTCAGCTCTCGTCACGGTCAAAAGGGCGTCATCGGAGCCATCTTCAACAAGGCCATAATGCCCTTCAACTGCGACGGAATCAGCCCGGACACCATTATGAACCCTCACGGTTTTCCTTCTCGAATGACGGTCGGAAAGCTGAAGGAGATGACGGCTGCCAAGGCAGGCGCCCTCAAAGGCACCATCCACGACGCCACTGTCTTTGGTGGCACCAAAATGGACGACTGCTTTGATATCATGCAGAAGCACCATCGACTCTTTTCCGGCAAGGAGCTGGTCGTCTCGGGGATAACGGGCGAGCTGATTCCAGAGGAGGTCTACATCGGCCCCATCTACTACCAGCGGCTGAAGCACATGGTCAGTGATAAGGTGCACTCGCGCTCCATCGGACCGATGACTTCGCTAACCCGACAGCCCACTGAAGGCCGCTCGCGTGATGGTGGCTTGCGAGTGGGTGAAATGGAGCGTGACTGTTTAATTGGCCACGGTACGTCTTATGCTCTTCTGGAGCGATTCATGTTCTCCAGTGATGCCTACGAGATGGAAATTTGCAACACCTGTAACTTCATTGTGGCGTCCAAGTTCTGTCTGAAGTGCAACGCATCAGACAATATCGTCAAGGTGCGCATTCCGTACGCCTTTAAACTGTTGACGCAGGAATTGTTCTCCATGGGAATTCATCCGGCGATGGGCTTCAAAATGAACAAGAAACGCTAATTGTCATTGCGATGCAAACTTTTAAAAATAAACTTTTGCAAATCAGATGGCTGGTTTTGGCGCTGTTAAACTATCACTTGATCTGCAGTGTTAACTTTGTCCGCTTGCCGTATGTCCTGCGGAAGGAAGAGGTGACCCTTGCGGTGCCATTGTCTGTCCAAATGAAGCACATGTGGCCATCAAGTAAAGACCATCTTCAGCGGTAACTTCTTCGTTTGCTGTCCCCGTCTGGAGAAGCGGCAGTTGTCCTCGACAGTGCTGTCACTGGTGCGGTGAAGTGGTGCCAAGTGGCCAGTGCGCAATGAATAGAGCAATTGTGCAATTGCGCTGCTCGGCAGTGCCTTTACTCGTGTGTCGCAGTTCGCAAGTAAATGCCGCCACAATGGACCTGGTTCTTTACCGCCGCTTTTTTGTGTGCGAGCGGTGTCTTTGAGGGCGAACCAGGGCAAAGAGAACGTCGCTTGATGAGGGCCAATTTGTAGGCTGTCTCGAATGTCTGAGCATTGCAGTAATCCATTTTTAGCCAGTCCAATCGGCATTGTTCACTGTCAGTGATCTAACTGCTGCTGCTCATTACATCGTCATGCTGCCAGTAACGTGCACAGTGGCCTCTTTGTCTTCCTTCAGTGTCTTCCTCCATGCGTGCTCTCATCCTGCTTCTTCCACCAGATAAGTAATTTTGTATAAATTGACTTAATCTCTGTTAATTAAATGTTTTCCGCCAAATTAATTTCGAATAAGACTTTTTAGCAATGTTCAGCCGCATTTGGGTGCTCCATTTGGCGTTGAAGAGCCTCAACCGCAAGCACAGGCAGCAGCAGCAGTGGGACCAATACTTCAAGGATGCAATATTGTAGAATATTTGCTTCCATTAATCTATATTAGGCTGGATGCAGTGACAGAGCCTAGTAGTGCTGCTGCTGCTGCTGCTGGTGGTGAACAGCGTCATCTTGGCTGCATGTTGGCAGTGATCATTACTGGTTTTGTTTACCACTTGCCTCAACCCTTAACTAGGCAGGAGGGGAGTATAGGACTCCGTTGCGGAGCGCACATGGCGAAACGACCACTAATTGGCTGCAGTGTCACCTCCATCCATCATCCATCATCAGCCACAGGCAACATGTTCGCCGATTAGCCGCAAATCTTAAATTAGCCCGACGCGCAGAAGCACGCGCTCAGACTGGCGAACGCCTGACGACTTGCCACTTCTAAGCTTCCACTTTCACTTGCACAGGCCCAATTAGCATTGAGCTTTCCGTGGCCGATCAACTTCAAGTGAAGTCAGACTGTTGACTCTTTCTGCTGGCATTCATTAATTGGCCCTTGTTACTCTCCATTTGCATTGGCACATCTGCTTGCTTCATTGCACACTTCTTCATCGCCTCTCTTTCCGGTTCGCTATAGGCTACCACTGAGTCGGCGGTACAACTTTCCTGCTTTCCTTCTTCTTCTTGACTTCTATGCTGCAGCACTGTGACGACTCTCACTCCTACGCCACACTGGGAACGTTCAGCATTTCAGTGTAAAATGAGATTAATTGAAGCGTCACTAACACTCAATCACCACAAAACAGTTGCCTTACAAATAGAACTAGTGGACTATTGGATCGAATTGTTTGCCCGTTGATTCATGCGAGAGTGAGAGTGAAAGGTGCCCAATGTGGCTCACTCGACAATAGGTGGTGGGCAATTATTTAATTATAATTAGCTGAAGAAGCAGTAGCAGCAGCAGTAGTATCATCAGTTGTGGTGTCCGCAGTAGAGTAGCAGTCAGTCCATTTACCAGCTAATAATCGTCTGGCACGTTCTGTTGCTCGAAGCACTGGGCGCAACACTCTTGCTCCACCACTCGTCGAATTCCTCCTCCCCGAGAGCGGTAGCCTCCTCGGCGGCAGTGGCAGAGGCAGTGTATGATTGGCTATAGCAAGTGCACTGCCTGGCCGCACAGCAACGAATCGACGGAGACACGGAATCTGACAGGCGAACAGACGGGCTGCGCTACTCGACTGAAACAGAAGTAAGCGCGCGCCAAGAAGACACTGGCACAGAGAGACAGAGAGAAAGAGAGCAGCCACTTTGCGACAATGTATGAATGAGCAAAGGCGAACAGCGTCAATTGCATGTGTAATTGCTTCACAATCACCGCTAATCATTTGCCGCCTACGAATCTCCGCTCACTGATCACTGGATTTTGTGTTTCTTCCTCATCTTTTTTTTCGCGCCGGTCAAGTTTTGTGCAATCTCACAGCAGTGATTCATTCGTCTAAAAAACTTTGTGTTCAACCAGTGCAATTTTTACTTGTTATCCAACGCAAACTGTATTATGGTCAGAATCGACATGAGCAAAAGTAAATCCGCCTCAAGTACTGCTCAATCAGATGAGATGGTCAACAACTCAGCCAATGAGCCAGTGTCTGGTGATGAAGAGTCGTCTGAGCAAAGGAAATCACTGCAAAGCAAAGAAGACCCAGAAAAGGAGGCACGCAACAGCAGTAGCAAGTGTAGAACTTCATTTTCAGTGGACGACATTTTAAGTCCTTCAAAGTTTAATGGTCAAGTGAGCACTTTGACGCCAGAGTACTTTATGCGCTGGCAACCATGGCTAATGCAAGAGGCCCTCCGACAAAACTGTCCTTTCCCCGACTTGGCATTGTCATTCTACAAACCATTTTTCATTAACCATAAAGATGGTAAGTACTTTTACAACATATATTTTCAAAAAAATCTTTTTGTTGTACTTGTGATCGAACACACCAAAAACTCACTGCTCATGTGAAGCCAATGAACAGGTATTCAATATTCAGTCTGAGGTGAACAAGATCGAACTGGAGGAGACCTCTCGTTCAAGTTCTTCCATGAGCGACGATCATGCCGACCCACAGACGGAGAGAACAGAATCCCCTATTGTGCTGACCAGTGACAGCGACAGCTACTGTTTCAAATCATACGGCTCAAATGGAGTTGCTAACTCGGCGTCTAAAAAGAAAAAATCGACAGTCCCACTTGTAGACAGCAAGGGTGGCAAGCCAAGGAGAGCAAGGACAGCTTTCACTTATGAGCAGCTTGTGGCACTGGAGAACAAATTCAAAAGCACTCGTTACCTGTCTGTCTGTGAACGTCTTAACTTGGCGCTCTCTTTACGACTCACCGAAACGCAAGTAAGTTGTTCAGTTTTAATATAGTTAAGAACAGTAAAACTCAGATTATTCAAATTACATCATCAGATCTAAAACTCATTTTTATTTTTACTTTCAGGTGAAAATATGGTTTCAAGTAAGTTTTTCACTCTTTTAAATTATAGACAATTAGATAGAACTTGTGATNAAACAATGAAACTCAGATTATTCAAATTACATCATCAGATCTAAAACTCATTTTTATTTTTACTTTCAGGTGAAAATATGGTTTCAAGTAAGTTTTTCACTCTTTTAAATTATAGACAATTAGATAGAACTTGTGATTGCTAACCTGTCACTCTCTAAGAATCGACGTACCAAATGGAAAAAGCAAAACCCTGGAATGGATGCAAACTCTCCCACTGGCGGCTCTCAAGTCAGTCTTCCATCGACAAACACCACCTCATCACCGAGCAGTATGGGCAGCATTCCGGTTTCAGCTTCCGGCTTTCCGTCTGCTGCATTTCTCTATGCCACACAACTGGCGTCGTCGTTCGCTGCTGTTAATGGCTCCAATCCGGGGACTTTGGCCTTTGGACAGTCTTCATCGAACGTTGGGGGTGTGCTGTCAGGGGGCAACTCGTCTGAGCACAATCACGGACACGGTCATGGACACAGTCACTTTTTACCTCATCTCTAAATTGACCACCGAATGGCAGTTAGTGCACTTGCTGTGCCCAGGCAGTTGACCGGGCAGTGCATCACTTTCACAAGCACAAACATGTCATTTGTACATAACATATACAAATCCACGGAATAAACTGAGAAAGTCATCCTTTCATGGCTGGTAGAACTCAATGGTCTGACTCAATTGACGCATGTCAGGGAGTGCACAGCAGTGCGACAACAGTGGGCAAAGTGTCCAAAGTGGGCAAATTGATTCGGGTGCCGTTGCTTGCACTTGTCCCGATGTGGCCATTTACCCGCCGGAGGAGACAGTGCTGGATTGGCAATATGCAGGCAAGGAAGCAAGTAAGCAATTGACTGTGATTGCCATTTGGATCGTCGATACTCGACAGCGATGCACTTAATGTGTGTTGGCACAGATAAAGCGCGTCGAATTAAGGCAATTATGGCAGCAATTGTGACCGCGTCCAACTTGACATTGGCGGCAAAGAGCGAGAGACAGTCACTCTGCCCGTCACTTAGTGCGTAATGTCGGAAATAATAGGGCCAATCGAGAGAGGGGTTATTACAGTGCGAGATAACAATTTGCATGCATCAAGGCGACATTATCATTACCATATTTAATACTCGGCATTTGAGGCTCATTTTACGCTTATTCGGCCTGTCTGTCTGTCGTTGTTTGAAAATATAATTTGCCTCCTCCAAACTGAGAATTATCCGCATGGCACTTTGCCTTCTCAACTGCTGCGAGCAAGCACTGCCACTGTTTCAATTGCCTGTCAAAGCCCCGGCACGGCTGGTCGCTTGCCGCCGCCACTGCAGCTTCTTACTTCTGCATTCTAATTTAATTCACTTTAATGTGCATGTAGCATATCGTAATATCGTAATAGGCGTTATACCGCTCTCTCGCGCCACTCTCTCTTCCTCACTGCTCATTTTACTAACGCGATCCTGGAACAAAGGCTCAAATATACAACGCCGTGCTAGGGGGCTGCTGCTTCTGCTGCTTTTTCTCCCTCTCCCTTTCTTCCTCCTTTTGTCTCTGTGTCTCACTCCCTCAGTGTGATTGAGTCAAAGGCAATGGCTCGTATTAGTCTATCAATAAAGCTGTGATTACCAGTGAACGATGATCGTTGATGCAAAATTGAGTCACCGATTGAGTTACAAATTAAGCCTACTAAGGCAAATCGCCCGCCACTAAGCAGAGTAATTGTATCTCGCCACTATCATTTCTGCGAACAATCAGGCTGTCCCCCTCCTTTCCACTCTCTCAGATTGCCAGCACCGAATATTCCGCTCGGCGGTCAAAGTGTCATTCACTGGGCAAAGGCAAACACAAGGCAGTAGAGAACTGTCTCAGCGTACACTAGAACCGTTTTCGTTCTCTTTCTTGAGACAGTGCTGCTGTGTGAGTGACCACTTTGAAGTTAGAAGGAAGCAGTGCAACCGGCAATTGAAGGTGGCCAGTAGAGGCACCACAGTGACGTCCGCCAGAGGCTGCTCCAGTGTTTGTTGGATTACTTGTTACTTGGTGCAGTGATTAATCGGCCCACCATCGACCAATTTGTCATCAATTACCGCGAGAACGGTGGCTCGAATTAGTCTGTGCCCAAATTATATGCTTTTGGGCTGAAGTGACGCGAACAAGGCGATCGAAGCAAGTGATATTCGATTCGACAATGGCAACGTTGTTGCTATATTTTGCCCAAACGCAAGCAGATAGACAGGCAGGCAGTCAGGCATCGGCAAAAGGAAAGAGCAATTGAAGGAGCAGACAAGCGAAAGATGCTATTTTAAATGTCAAATGAGTTAACAACGTAATTGGCTGCTTTTCAAGTCATTTTGCTTGTAATTGATTCGCACCAGTCGCGATGACATCGCCCAACGGGCACACTCTCAGTCAGCGTTGCTGTGGACTCCTTCCCTCTCCCTCTTTCTGACGCATTGAGTTAGCTGTAACTCACAGCTGGCAGTGTCTTCCAGCACATCTTCGAGTGTGCCTGTCACTGCTTCACAAATGAACACAGCTCCTTGTCAACTTTGACGTTGCCCATCCACTTGTTATGGCCCACTTGGTGTAGTACTGCTTCTGTTTGACATCTTTCTCCTAGCACTGATTGCAATGCTACATTTTTTTTGGCCAACAAGCCAAAAAATTGAATCAAGTGGAGTGAAGCAAAGACAGAGTCGAACATGTAACATACCAATTTATGGCTGCAATTAGCGTCACAATGAATTGGAAATTATTGCGCCATTCGCACCATCGAGTCCTCTCCTCAATTCGGTAATTGTGTCAATCGAGTCAATTTAAAGTGGATACATTCCTGCAATGTACTTGTTAGTTTAGACGCATAATGTCACAGTGTACTTCAAACATTGTTTACATCATGAACAACTTTTGCCTAGAGGGTTGGCGTTTGTTACGGCAAACAACCGCAATACTATTACAAAAATTTATTTGTCACTTATGGCTCACTTGGTGAAAAGTCCTTTCAGAATATATCTCTTTTAGAAGGTCTATTTATATAACATTTTATAACTATATTAAGCGGAATTTCAAAAAAGTTTAATAGTTTAATTTGATTTTAGAACAATTGTAAAAGTTTTACTGAATGACTTGTTGTTCAATCTGAAGCGTTTAAGAAAAACTAAAAAAACGATTTCTTGATTTTTGTTTTGTGAAAGTGGTTCGTTTGAGGCTCAATCTTTATAAATATTTGAATTATCAGTTAACAGTTGGGTAGTGATAATGGCTGCGTTGCAATAAATGTAATGGTGGTAAAATTAATTATTAAAAGAGCCAATTGGCAATCTAATTACTAACTCACTCACTCGACTTGCTTTGCCTTAGGTCGTCGTCAGGCACTTAGTGTGGTGAAGCAGTAGCGAGCAGATATTGGCCAATTCATGGCTCGATGAACCAGGCACACCAGGGCCACGCGGACACTGCCAATTGTCAGTTGTACCGTCGTTCACTTTAGATTACTTACTTGGTAATAGGCTACGAGAAACGAATGAGTACGGTCTTAGGAACGATGCGGTGCCCGAAGCAAACAGCGAAGAATTCAATTATGATAATGGGATTACAATCATCGATTGTTATTATAAGATCCGATAATGATTCTATTATTTACACATTACACTTGCCTCTCTGGCGACAACAATCGAATGCAATTGCACGTTGAGAAGCAGAAAAAAAGCAAGCCAGCAGTGGCATTGATCGGCTCAATGAGATTTAATGTTGCAGAATAGGCCCGGCCAGAGAAAGAACGAGAGAGAAAGCGATTCTGGCTATTATTGGCCGATTAAGCGGACGGGCCGATATCGAGTGGATGCTGCTGCTTTCAGATGGACGGGCATTAATCTGCTTTGCCTCTCATTACCGAGCAGTGCCGCATAGGGGTGGCCAGTGAGGAAAACCTCGTTGGAGAATGCTCGAGTCAGCCATCAGATGCATTCCTTCCGACTGTCTGCACTTTGGCACACACCGCCCTTTTTAAATTTTAAGCTTGATTAAATAATTTCCTGGCCCGATTATTACTTTGATTAATCGGATCAGGCAACTTGGCGAGCGCCGGCAAAGAAACTTTGTCGCATGACTGACTGTGGGCTAATTATTGTCACTTCGGACCAGACTCTTTCACAAGTTGGTCTGCGCTGCAAAGATAATTTAAAGATAATTTCCTTTGGTCACTTATCAACATCAAGAGTACCGCTGCAGTGAAGTTGGTGAAAAAACGGGGAAGTGAAAAAGGCACGCGAAGTACTGCCAAATCGATAGCGCCACTTAATCAGACCATTAAATTGGCTTTAATGTCTCCTTTGCCTGGTCGAACATATTTGCTCAAACCCTCTAATTGGTGTCCAATTTATTGAAAAATGCCACTACAATAATTAAGTTCCCACTGGCAAAGAACATAGTTAATTTAACTTGCAAATTGCTCCAAAATAGAGATCATAAATCGAAGGAGGCAAAAGACACTTGGCACTTGGCACCAGCAATGAATGAAGCAAGGCGGCACTAGTTGGACAGCTAATTTGGTGGCAAGCAAGCACTGAAGTCAATTAAGTGCGTTTCGATTTCACTGTGGCCCATTATTTGCCCAAATAAGATCTGTCAAATTGCTGCTTTCCCAATCTCTTCTATCTAATTTAATTGGATTAATTTGACTTGCGCAAGTGAAGCATGCACGAGTCTGCAATGTGAGCCTCGTCTCGTGTGCAGCCAAGCTGAGGATGGAGAGGATGGCAAGTTCAGCAGTGCAGAAGCCAAAGAGGAGAGACCGTGGCAAGTGCAGAGTCCGTGGCAACCATCAGCCTGGAGACTTCGTTAACTCCTTATTAAGATATGTAAATTAAGGGCAATTAAAGAAACAAAGAAGGCAATTAATTGAGAATCAAGAGCAATTACATCAGGGTGATTGAGGCGACAAATGAAGAGTGTAATTAGCATCACATTTCAGGGCCCCGGTGCCGCTGCACAGTCACTCCTAATGAACAGCGACAGCAAGCAACAACTTTTTGGTGCGATGCTGTGGCCGCCTTTGTCAAGCTTGTGCCGGGTAAGCGAATAAATTAAAGGGATCTACTACTACTGCTGCTGCTGCT